GTTGTTATGATTTAACTTATGGTACTTAGAGTAAAACTCTAAATTGATAATATCTTACAAAATATCAGTAGGAAAGGCATATAGTACAGTTTGTGTACATTAGCGTTGCGTACAGGTATATGCTTTAAAAGGAAGATTCAGGAAGGTAATATACTTTTTCTTTAGAATAAATGCACTGACCATAAAGCGTACACGTTGAAGCTGACCTATATCCTTATCAGAGAAGGCTCCATGATACCATTTGCCCCTCTGATATCTATCTTTATATGGACAAAGATTTTTCATTTGAAACTTAGCAGCCCCTTCCGTTCCTTCTAGATTCACTTGATATTCTAAAGACATTCTACTGCAATAAAACTGCAAACTAATCAAATAGGACCGATCTGAAAATGTAAACCAAGGAAATATGATGAACATTAAGCTGTAAAACTAATGCATGCTATATGGCATACCTTACCTGAAAAAAACGAGTTAAAGTGTATATGAACATAATGTTTATTATTTACGTTCAAAATGTTACATTAAATTGAATAGATTTTTAAAGTGGCAATATGGCGCATCTCTTTAACAATAGACTTGTTAAAATTTTCCTATAGGATTTTGAATTTTTTTCATACTCATAAATGTATACACTTTCAGAAAATTACAAATTTCATAAGTAAATAATTCTGATTGTTTCATTAAAATTAATAACTATTTATGGCCCATAAATATATACATCGCAACGTGTTCGAGGTTCCACATTCCATGCTTTTCACGCATGCGTATAGTTTACATAAACAAAACAGCATGGTAAGAGAGGGAATCCCGGTAGGCCTGCTACATTGACAAATCGACCGGAACGAAAAACAAAACCAAAAATAGGGCTTGAAATTAAAAAGCAACTTTCCTGACAAAAATTTAGTTGGGAGATTAATATAATCATTGGATGAAGAAGAAACGGGATCTCTGCGACATTCACGTGGGGCTCGCGAAGGTTCTATCCTACAGGTTTGTCGATACATGCTATTATTTCTCGTATCTCCATGGCTTTCAAAGAGAAAGAAATCAGTGAAAACCCTACATTGTATGCACGTGCCATTTTAGAATTCACGTGGTACAAATAAACAGATTGTACGACCCTTGAATTTCCGGCAGATTTTAATTACGTTATTTTACATGAGGAGAGGATATTTATTTTTCTCAAATGCTTACTTCAACTTTTTATCTTATTCCTGAATGTTATATTGGGTTAAATTGAATGAAATGCACACGATTTGCAGCCGTATTGCCGCTTTAATAACTTGAATGACTATACGTTTTTCTATAGTTAAATTGATTTATTATAAACTGTGTCCGATATCTAAATACGGAGTTGGTAAATGAATCAGATATTGTTTCTAATTTCTAATGTCTAATTAAACTCGATTGTTTTACATCGTGTAAATTTCAGGAAAGTCCGATTTTTATACAAAGTAATAAAACCAATAGAAAAATCTTTTAGATTTTAGTCACTCTTGACCATCGGTTCATTCATTCACCTCTGTCGTTGGCTTGCGTATATCACAGTGATAATCACGAGAAATAGTGTGTTTTGCGTTTGAGATATTTCCTTATGATTCAATATCTATCCTTATGTCTGAGTTTTGAGATAGATATTTACTAAAACAATCTAGAACTCTTAATTAAATTGGAAAAAACCCTGCAAAAAATATCCTTTCGAGACCCATGTTTTATACGTTATGTTAAAAATCTTAACGTGCGCCCATTGCAGATGTGCCTGAGAGAGGAACGTACGGCAACTATGCATGGGAGATTGGATTTTAGTTAATATGTATCTAAAAAACGTCATATATATATATATATATATATATATATATATATATATATATATATATATATATATATATATATATATATATATATATATATACTAGTATGTCTGTAATCATTGAAAGGAAAATATAAAAATAAAAAAAAGAACACTAATCGTCACATTTGCAGCATTCACCTTATCACTGTACACACATATTGTCCGATACATATATGTACGTAGCCATTGTTCAGTGGCGGATCCAGGAATTCCGGGGGTGGGGGACGGGGGGGGGGTACAAGGCCGAAGATACAGATGACTGTACTGAGGCCCCCAGTGTGTCTAAGACCATGTCCTTTTGGGGGGTACGGGGAATCCCCCTGAAGCTGACAAATTCTTACAAATAAGAGATATTTCTCCTTGATTGTAGGAAATTGGACAAATTAATATTACAAACAAAAATTTTAACGGGGAGGGGTGGCACAACTGGCGCGCCGGCCCTGGATCCGCCTTTGATTTTTACCTTTGTCCAATCTTAGGAAGACAGAGAAATCGGTGATGTCTCCAGGAGCTGAAAATCTGTCAAAAGGAAGAGTAATTGAAGTTTTGAAAAAATCAAATAAAACGTCAAAGAGGAGCAATTTATCATTCGTTAAGAATAATGGAACTAATAAACACTCAAACATTTTGTAAAAATCAGCTACATGTAAAAATCTTTTGCAGAGGAATTACTACAGAGAAATTAACTTCTTGAGGAGATAATTTTAATGCTACGAATGGTACTTGATCTTTCTTAAAAGGTAATAAAAGAGTTGTGAATGATAAACAAAGTATGTAGAAGGGGATGGTTTTATATTGTTTATTGTTTTTTTTTTCTCATTAGTACGGAAATTTCCAAGGTCAAGTCGTTGGTATCCAATGAAATGTCTTTCCACGAAGAATTAAGATACAGCTGTATGAAAAAAATAAAATCCTGGTATTAACTGTTCAGAAGATGTGGCCAAAGTTGAAGTTTGAAATTTTTGAAAAAAAAGTGGGTCAAACTACAAGGTCAAGGTTCCCAAAGCAGTTCTTTTCACAAGCAATACATACGTAAAATGTGAAAGTCGTATCTCCACTAAATCAAACGTTGGGATCAAGGTTAAAGTTTTTTGCGAACAAACAGACAGACAGACGGACACGACAAAAAACTATATACCCCCAATACTTTACGTTTACGGGGGCAATAAACTGTTCAATAAAGAGTAAATAGAATTATATGAAAGTTATTCAGACAATAGTGAAGAATAATAAAATGGTTGTGGTTTGAATAAACTGATGCGTAGGAGAAGTAATGTGTTATATAATTAAACTTTCAGACATATATGGCTGCATCTTTATATTTTTATGTGTAGCGAATTTTAACTAAAATTTCCACCTAAAATGTCTGCCTAGAAAAAAGTAGATGAAGATAAGATGCATTTTTCAAATGATTTCAAACGTTATAAACCATTACAGAAACAAGATGTGTTTGTGAAATAATGATGCCCTGTATGATAATTTAGCGAAGTTTAAACTTTTATTAAATGCAAATTTAATAAACAATGAAGCGCATTGAAGTAGTTAAATTTTCCGTATGGATAAAACGGCTGAGTCATGGTTGGAACTACATTTATAACATATTGACACGCCCATTTCTTGAGAACTGAAAAAGAAACATTCATTGTAATGACCAAGGAAACCTCAGTCTTCGTGAGAAGCAACAAGAGTTACATGACCTTAGATCACTTATTTTAGAAGGTCCTAAATACAGGGAACCCCGACCCTTCAACTGGCGTCGGTATTTCGTTAATATTATGGATTCTGTGGAAAATTACGCCAGACGATGGGCAAGATATGAAAAAGAAGACATTGACACCTTGTCAGAATGGATTAAATGTATCAGATCCATGTTAAAGTCCCGTATTAAAAGATTGAGGGGCAATATAAAAACCATATATCCTTTTATGTTCAATAAACCAGAAGTGAAATAGGAGTTAGATAGATTACACGATCAGTTCGTACTGGTTCCTGCCGACAAAGCAGGTAACAACACCGTCTTCGTTTGTAAGGCTCATTATAAATTTTGCATTCTAGAAGAACTTGGATTTAATTCTACAAGTGGTAATCCTACTTATACTCATACTTCCTTTCTCAGGAAGAAATTCCTTAAAATCACCTGTCAGTTTTGAATACTTTCAATATTCCACAGAGCCAAAATGAATTTGAACTACCTTATATATATTGGATTCCAAAACTTCATAAGAATCCTTACAAACAAAGATACTTTGCAGGTTCCAGTAAATGTTCAACCAAGCCTCGTTCGTTACTCCACACTAAGATATTGATAGTAGTGAAGGAAAAACTTCAAGAGTATTGTGCAACTATATATTCAAGAAGTGGTGTCAATCAGATGTGGATACTAAAAAATTCTAAGGAACTTTTGGACACTTTGAAATCACAAGATTTTACAAAAATCAACAGCTTAAAAACTTACGACTTTTCAACTTTATACACAAACATTTCCCACGACAAATTAAAATCCAGACTTTTTTATATCTTGACAGCTGCTTCTTCGATAAAAATGGAACTCGTAAATTTACTTACCTCGTCACTGGTCATTTGCGAAATTATTTTGTTAAAACAGATTCTGATTGCACACATAAGTACTCTGAAGTTAACATCATGCTTGAGTTTCTGATTGATTGCATCTATGTGGTTTTTGGAGACCATGTATTCCAACAGTCTATTGGAATTCCCATGGGTACAAATTGCGCTCCGTTATTAGCATACTTATTTATGTACATGTATTCATATGAAGCAGAATTTATGAAAAATCTTATGCGTGAAAAGAAGAAAACATTTTGATGTGTCCTTCAATTCGACATTTAGATATATCGACGACGTATTGTCAATTAATAATGGTAATATCCATTCCTACGTCGATAGGATATATCCTGATGAGCTTGATATAAAAGATACCACAGAGTCCGACACTTCTGTTTCATACTTGGATATTTTACTTGAAAAAGACACTAATGGTAATCTAACAACCAAGCTATATGATAAACGTGATGTCTTTTAACTTTTCTATCGTCAACTTCCCTTACTTATGAAGCAATATACCTTCATCACCTGCATACAGAGTATATAAATCTAGTTGATTCGATACGCAAGAGCATGATACACGTAAATTTCTGAAACGAGCTAAATTATTGACAAGCAGGTTGACGAAACAAGAATATCAGCAGTCTCGTTTAAAGTCTTCATTCCGTAAATTCTATGGTTGATACAATGACCTTGTCAGCAAATACAGTTTATCAATGAGTCAAATGCTGACTGACGTTTTTCATACCTACTGGTAGTCCATTATTTATACACAGAATTGACGTTATTTCCTGATCATGACAAGGAGCACACGGCGGGTGTGACCGGTCGGCAGGGGATGCTCGCTCCTCCATGGCACCTGATCCCACTTCTGATGTTTCGGGGGCACGTGTTTGCTCTGCTCTTTTTTTATTGTTTTGTGGACTTTGAGATTGTATACTGTTCGTTATCTCCATATCCTTCCTTACACCGAAAAGGAGATTTTTACATTTATGAGAGAGAGAGAGAGAGAGAGAGAGAGAGATAAAGAGTTCCCGCTTTTGTAAAACACGTACTAGCATTGGAACGAATTTGTCAATAATTATTAATGATCATGTTTATTGGAGTTACCATAACATATGTATCGGTCGAACACGTGCTTACTTGGTGTTTATGTAGACCCTCAATTTTATTGCCTATTATACATGTATTTATGGAATACCTGTTCTACAGGTATTCGAATGAACCATTTGACCGATATTTCCTTTCTAAAGAAATGGGCGTGTCATTGTATGACAATCATCGTTCTAAAGCTCAAAACCCAGTCAAACAAAACTTTTTACCACTTCAATGCGCTTCATTGTATACTCACCGTCAATAGAAACGCAACACCTTAATTTTAGGTTGAAAATTATATACGGGTTATAACTATGTAACAAAAAAGTTAGGACAACTTTTACTTTGCCAAATCATTTATTTAACGGTTGAAAAAATTTCTTCCCGCTACCGGAAGTCGCTTTTTAGCCCTCGTAACAGAAATTAAAAAAAATAGCATTTCTAATAAAATTTTAAAGAATATTTTGGGTTTTCAAGGTTTTTTAGCTGTTAATCATAAGTATTGTACTAATATGCCGGGGAAAAAATCCCTCTTTCTTTACCGTATGTAATGCCTATATTTCCTCAAAATGACTGATTTTAATTGCTAATGCTGGAAATTCTAGAAAGTGTTCTTTGTATCCAATGAAAAAGTCGTCTTACAAGAATTACATATGTATGGTATGAAAGCAATAGCCATTACCATTCAAAAGTTATGGCCAAGGTTAAAGTTTTTTTCACAACCACGGAAGTTTCAAGGTCACAGTCAAAAGGTTAAATTTGTTGGTATCCAATAAAAGGTCCTTAAACTGAAAATAAATATATGAAGTACAAAAGTCTTTTTATCTACTGTTCAAAAAATATGGCCAAAGTAAAATGTGTTGCGTTCAAAACAGGTCACACTTCAAGGTCAGGTCAAAAGGTCAGTTTGTTGCTACCCAAAGAACGTTATTGTCACAAGAAATAAACATGTGAAAAATAAAAGTCATAGCTCTACTTAATCAAAAGTTATGGACAAGGTTAAAGTTTTTGCGGAGAAACAGACAGCTAAACAGACAGCAGCACAGATAGACAGACGGACACAACAAAATCTATTTACCCCCAAAACTTTGTCCACGGGGGCATAAAAACTCAAAACTTACTTTCTACCATCCTGTCCATCAAAAACAGTTTTAAGTTTATTTTCCGAGGCTTTGCTTACGTCATCAATATATAATCTTCCGGTATATAGATTTTCACCCTTGAAAAGAGATATTTGTCATTAAAAAATGCAGATAAAATAGTACCATTGTTCTGTGATAATATTTTATAACACTTTAGATTTTAAAAAGTAGCTCGTTTTCAAATTAAACTTCTCCACCACGTTGTTAATCAGACGCTAATTGATTTCTTTTACAGTTTTACTGCTTTTGTTACGTACACAATGACAAACTAATCCCCCCCCCCAATAAAAAACGCGAGAATACATATATTCCAACCCTTTAAGAGGTGAAAAAGCACATTAGCCTTGTACCAAAATAAGTTTGTTGTTTGTTGTTTTATTTACCTCTCACTTGCCGATGAAGGCTGCCGATTTTTACCTACACTCGGCACTCAGAGACATTGAGAAGAAATGAAATGAAGTACAAAAAAACCTCAACAGACACGATTCTTAAACTCCGACCATACATCAACAGAGTTCCTAATGGTATAACCCTTACCCAAACCAGTAAAATAAGGTTCAAAACTAACCTCCACAGTCACGAGTTTAAAGCTCTGACCATACACTAACGGAGTTCCTATTGTTGAGGAATCGTCATCTGCAGACTTGATTTGAAAGAGTCCGTCATAATTTGTGATACTGTCGACTGTTAAAAGAAATTTTAATTTCTTATATAATTATGACGCAATAAGGTCTCATTTACATTTCATTTTTTTTTTTTTTAATTATGTTATTTTTTCCCATATTGGTACGTATACATGTATGTATATGTAATCCAGGAATGAGTGCACCTCGATACATACATGTATACATTGTACATGAAATTGTTACATTTTACATAGTATGTTAAATTATTGTTACAATTATTCACATTTTCCTCTACAAAAAGATGCTGTTACTTTTGAGAAACATGTTTCTTTCGGGAGAGGATATCAATAAAATGTTTATTTCATTTAATTAAATTATGGGAAAATTATGGGAGAATTCTTTTTAATTATCATAATTTGTTTATCTTAATATTTGCCAAGTACACAGAATTTTGCAAAATGTTAGATATTGTGTTTATGTAGATATTTAGCATATTTTTCCTTTTACACTCCATACCTTGTACAAGTGGTTTCGTGACCGTCCCATTAAAGTATCCCGTGGAGTTGGACAACGCCAAATATTTCCTGGAATTTCTGTTCCTAAGAGTTACAAAATCACCGAACCTGAAAATCAACCACCAAAAAAAGCAGAAGCATGTTTGAATAATGACTGTTTAAGCTTCACAAGGACTAATAGCTTAAAACGTGAGTACATTTTAATAAATTTTCCTATTTCTCTCTCATTTTCGATTCGAAATATAACAAAGCAACATAGTTTTACATTTCTCTTGCAGCTGTCAAATCTTTGACACCAAGCTTAAGAATAGAAAAGAAAAATTTCCAATTTTCTTGTCGAAACCAGACTGATTTTGAATGTCCATAAAGAGCCATAGCGCATTTGAAGGTCAGTTTCGCCTACTCTAGTATCCATTTTTTAAATACTTTGTTTAACCGAAATTTTGTCAAGCAATGTTAGTTTATACATGCCTTAAAGCAACGCACACAAAAATAATACTCAATTATTAATAATTCCCTCATATGATAGTTAAAAAAGTCGTTCAGTTAATATGGAGAATATAGAAAATACTGGGGTACCCCCTAAACAATGACAAACTGTGGCAAAAGACCAACCTTAACTAGAAAAACAACTTCTGAATAATTTTATTTGGATATGACTGCACTTCATTACGTTTAGATAATTTTGGTCAAAGGTGATCTTCACATTGAAAATGTTGAAAATATGTATTTAATTTTCTTCTAAAATTATTTCAAAATTCAACAATCTGTCTTAATTTTATCCGTTTGATTATCAAGAGTTCGTGGCCTAGTGGTATGATCGCTGGATTGAAGAAATAATGATCGTGAGTTCGAGTCTCACGGTGTGTGTTACTTAACTAAGATTTTATTTTTTTTCTCTGTGTGCATTTTCCTATCTTTTCTTTTATTATTTTATAATACATGTATAAATAATTTTTAAAAGAGATATATAATACAACATTACACATTGAAAGTATCTTGGGGAAAACAGTCTTAAACTATTTTAATGACGCAAAGTCAATTGATGCTAGCCTGTTTTATATTTTTAAATTATCAAACAATTTTGTTAAGAAGAAGAGTATTGAACAAGTAAAATTACTGTAATGCAACAGACTTGCAACTTTGAAAATATAACACTGGTTCACAAATGATAACGTATATGTACATGTAGTTTTGGATTGAAAATGTACATGTATCTATAAATAGAAACAGTTGATTTCCTTTCAAATACTTGAGTAGGCCAAGTCGTCGGAAAGGCAGCTATGGCTCTTTGCATGTGCATCCTCTAAACATGATCTCGTTTTTTTTTTTTTATTAAAATATTATTGTTACGGTGATTAGTCAGTAATCATCATTAAGCACACACCGTCTCTTTAGATTTCTTGCGCAGCTGCCATCAATCAAACACAATA